AGATTCATTCTCTCTCTCTCTCTCCCTCTCTCTCCACAGTGTGTATAAAGTCATTATCTTTTGCCTTCAAGTTTTTAAAAAAGATACTTGAGCTTCCTTTTGAGGCAGCAGTTGAAGCAATTTTAAGAGAATTGTTAATATTTCACCATCAGTTGTGGCTGTTTAGCCACTATTAGCAATACTTCACTTGTTATTACTGCTACTTGTTTATCATTACATAGGCTCAAACTTACTTGACCTTTCTTAACTAAAGTGAACTTTCTAGATGATTAAGAATGTGATTAACTAATTCCAGTGTATCATTAGCCAAAATATTGTTAGAACTTATGAAATGCCTATACACTGCTTTACCAATATATATATTATTATACACAGAAGATAGAAAGAACCTCCTTCAACTTGAACCTCCAAAGAAAATCTAAAACACCCAAAACAATGAGCCCAGGGCCATTCCTGTTGCTGCCCCAGCCAACATGCCCAATGCCAGGTCTCCATCAGGCTCTCGGTAACGTTCTCGAATGATGACATGGTTTGCAGGAAGCGGGCCATAAGTACCTGAAGGGAAAAAAAGAGAAGCATCAAAAAACTAAACTTGAAATAACTTCTTTTTCTTTTTGTATTGTTTATTTTTGTATTGTTCTAGCACAAGGAATGTTAGATCTCCATAAAATCGGACATTCAACATATTCTGGGTTAAACCTTATCATGAAGTAATAAAAAGTTTTGTAATGAATATCAACTAGAAAACCTTGAATTTAATAGCAAAGAGCATTAGAGGATACACCTAATGTTCTCTAACTTATTCAGATATGCACAAGAAAGGGGTAAATGAAGAAGCATGAGTAAGAGTTGATTAAGACTGCATGTGTATTCAGATACTGCTCTCCTTTAACTCATTCCCAATCCTCCAAACTACTTAGGAAGAGCAGGAGGTCCTGTTTGAATGTGTGTGTCAAATGGAGCCAACTCTGTAACTACAAAACTAAAGGGTAATTCTAAAATTACTGATAAGCTATTTCGCTGTGAGTGGATACAAACAGGATATACTCAATAGTGCAATCTTCTAACCATCTACTCATAACTGGGTCCCATTAAGTTCAGTAACATTTACTTCCAAATAAGTACCATATTTTTCAGAGTAGAAGACACACTTCCTGCTCCCAAAAAAGAGGGTGAAAATATAGGTGCATCTCATACACCAAATATAGTCCCGCCAGCCCCCACCCTTTGGCCTCTGCCTCCTACCAATTTGCCTCCTTGCAGCAAACAGCCTGTTTCAGTTTCAGCTTCAGCATAGCTTCACTAGCACAAGCAGCTGATTGTCAGTTGGATCACCTCTTNCTATCTATCTATCATCTATCATCATCTATCGTCCACACCACCCATGTCACCTAAGTACTCTGAAATGGTAAAGGTTGGATTAGAAGACCTCCAAGGTCACTTCCAACTCTGTTATTCTGTTATTTTGTGTGGTTTGAAACATTTAATATGTGTTTAGGGTGCAATCCCAAAACAACAGGAGCACCACTTGAACACCATCGGCACTGACAATCTCCACTAGTCAACTGCAAAAGGCAGCTTTCCTTGGAACAGCTTAAATCCCGCAACATACTTAAACACCATAGGACAATATCTACTTATCCCAGGTCCTTGGGGAGGACTCAATAGGTGGATAAAAATGCCAAATCCTGTCTACGCATCTAACTTTGCAACTAGCCATAATAATAGTTATAAAGTAGGCAAGGTGATGTTGCGATCCACATGTTATTATTTGCACACTATGGTTCCTTCTATTCCTCCATCACTCCCATCAGTCTCCTTCTGACATTGGTTCTCTATTTTTTCTTTTTCAGAGGACTTCTCCTATAACGCTGGCAATGGGTTCTCTTATGAGTAACATTTGTATGGTTGGTAAGTGCTGTTTAACTTGTATCTTTTGTGTTGTGGAATCTAACTTCTTCAGAAGAGGAATCCGTGTTCTGGTACTGAGGATGATTTTTGGGCTTTTTTCAAAAGGTGATTTCATTGCAGGTTGAAGCCACTATTAAGCCAAAGCCGCCCACTTAACCACAATCCCTTGGCATGCCATCTTGGCCATCAGAACTTTGGAGACATATCTTGAATATGACAACTCACTGGATATAATCAGGGGTGGGCTTCAAAAATTTCAGCAACAGGTTCTCTGTCCGGTTGCTGGGTGGGCGTGGCCATGGTGGGCATGGCCTAGTTGGCCTTCTGCACCATGGTGGAGGGGGGGGTGTTTTTGCCTTCCCCAGGCTCCAGAGGCTTTCCCCAAGCCTATGGGAGGCAAAAACTGCCTCCACCGGGCTCTGGAGGTCTTCTGGGAGGCCTGTTTTTCCCACTCATCGAGTCCATGTGTGGACCCTGCACTTACATCACCTCCAAAATTTGAAAGACACTCTTGGGAGGGGCAGGGCAAAGGGAGAGGGGAGGGGCGGCATGGGCGGGGCCAGCCGGGGGTGGGATTTGGAGGTTCTCCGAACCGGCCATAACATTAGCTACAGGTAACAGTATATTGGGTTGCAAGGTAGCTTCTAGATTAGAGATTGATCTTGCATAAAATAGCATGATTGTGGTTGCTGCTTACAGTATATTGGCCAAAATTGATCCGCTTTCACCTTACCATTATTAGGAAATGTTTCATGAATCATGGAAATGATTAAGACTAGCAACTTAATAACAGAATAAAAAAGTTGGAAGTCTTAAAGTTGCTGAGTTTGGAGACCCCTGGTGTAGATTTAAGGATGAACAAAAGGGCTAAAATGTGTGCCAGGAAATATGAATTGGTGTAATCTAGATTGTGGTAGGTGCATGTGGAAACTAGGATTAGTAGGCTGATGATAGTTGGATATTACAGTTTGATGAACAATGAGGATGAAAGAAATAGAGATGAGTTTGGGGCAGACATTGTGCAACGTTCTAAAGGAATGTTTATGTGTGGGACATAAATAGCTAGAGAAGGATGTAATGAGAGACCACATAAAAGTGAACAGATTAATATGATGAAAATGGTTATTTGTTTGGGGAGCATCTCCTTAGAAAAATGATCTAATGTTTTCAAGTAAATGATGGGGAGTGATGACCCCTGTCAGGCCTGGAAGCCATCTTTTACATTTGGGCCTTCAGGCTTCCCACATTTTCAACTGTGGGAAAATGGGAGGGGGGGATTATATGGAATATGGGAGATATATAGTCAAAATAACATTCCTTTCTCAGAGAGTCAAGGACACCTTCCCTGCAGCTGTGATGGTGTGACTAGGAAGCATCTCCAGTTTTGGATGGTGCATTGATTAGACCATGTGATGGACATGTGGGTGCTGGGCAGGGGTTTGGACTTTCATTTGGGTGGGAATAACCTGGAATCTTTCAGATTCGGGTTTTCCCAGATGTGCCAATATGACATCTGTAATAAAATGGAACTTTTAGGAAACTCAAGCCTCGGAGTCCTCTTTCATTGGGGGGGGGGGTTACTTGGAACCCTGACAGTCCCTTTAAGACTTGCTGGACTTTAACTCCCAGAATTCCTGAGCCAGCCATGTTGGCTCAGGAATTCTGGGAGTTGAAGTCTCCAGGTGATAAAAGGGCCGTAGTTCCCCACCTCGGCTTTCAAATATGTGGCTTAAGCATAAATCTATTGATGTGTACACCTCGAAAAGGACAGCAACTACATCTGAAAGTACGATGGCTGGGAGAAGGCTGTAAAATTGTAATGTTGTTGTAGCAAGTGTGGCTGATGTAACTGGAGATACGTTAAACTACGGAAGTGGTTTGCTTATGCAGAGGCTGTGCTACATTGAACGCAAGTCTGAAGACTGTCCTTGTGTCTAAAACTGTTGGAAGAATGCTGATACTACCATATTCCCCTACCTTAAGAAGTGGAAACAAGAATGAGTACCACAAAAAAGGGGATTATTATTTCCCACCATGCCTTGCTTGGGAAACTGCTTGGCAGAATTCTGATTGAAAGAGTACCAAAGGTCACCATGTGCAAATTTTGAGAAGTGCCCTGAGAAATGGACGCCCTGTGAAAAAGGAAGTTCCCTGTACATTTCTTGAGAGAGAATGAGTGATAACACGAAGAGGCCTTGATTTATGGGAAATTTCACAAATGTAGAATTATGGAAATGCAGAGTTGGAGTTTGCTTGCTGGTTGTGGGTAAGGCTGATATATGGTAAAGGGAAGTCAAATGTGAGATAAATTTGGCAAACAGTTCAACAGTGGGCACAGACTAAGTCAAGAATGCTTTTGTGGTTTTTTGATATATTTAGAGATTAATGTGTCAAGGTTTGCTTGGGGAAAAAAAGAACTGATATCTGCTACAGTTTATACAAAGGAATCGGAACATTAAAATCTACACATTTAATTTAATTGGCATCTAGATTCTAATTTCGGATAGATATGAAAGCAATAATATTAATATGAAAGCAATAATAATGCCATGATTAATGAGTAAGTTTAAATTAAATTAATGCAATGATTAAAACATTGCAATTTTTTAATATCCAAAGCAATTTGGACATATATATATATATATATATATATATATATATATATATATATATATATAT